ACACTCTCTCAGGCTTTTATAGAGAGCACATTGGCCAAGCAATGGCCGTGACTCATCCACATGGCTGCACTGACAAAGGTTCTACAATCTGTGGTGCAAGATCTCAGGATACATCCTGAGGGCATTTCACTGACCTTCTCAGACGAAAAAGCTACAACTCTTGTTGCATAGGTCCTGCTTTACCTTGGTCTTAACCATCCTGTAGAAAAGTATGAAGATGAAATGTAGGAAATAAAGCCATACTGTTAAGTTGAGCTGTGGGGGACTCAGGTCAATAATTTCTGACATTGCCAGTTAAACAGAAGACCCAATGCTATTATGAGCTACTGGACTCTTTTAGAATATTTTGCTGAGTTCACACACCTATATTATTCAATAATGTAACTTAGAAAAAATGGGGTATACCTATGAATGTCCATTTTTGTATCTGTGTATTCAAAGTGGATAGGATAGATATATAGTTGCATTCTCTTAATGAATAGAATGATTTGTTCTAATGGTGTTTGTAAATATTATCACATGTCCGCATGTTGTACAGCAATTAATCACTAAGATGAATATATGCAGTGTATTATTTGTTGAAACTGTACTTCCAATTAGATTTGAAACTGTCTCATTGCTATCTGTTTATCAATAAAACTTTGAAAACAGAAAAAAATAAATAAAAAAGTAAAACACAGGAAACAATTCTATCTCCATCACTGCATAATCCTATAATTATAATGAGATATATTTCTTAGTATTTTTCAGTCTACTTTCAGTACTTCAGCACACTGATTCCTACTCTTCTAAGAAAATTCTCAATGTTTTAATTACAGTTAAAATTCTGATATCTATTATATTTTTGTTCACTTTAAAATATTTATTACATACACATACGTGCATCTGCTACCAAGAAAAATTTGTGGAGACTGTAAAACTAGAGGTTTGCCTTCTCCATAGCCTTGACTCTTATTTTTTATTGTATTTTTAATAAAAGGTCTACAGGGTATTCAGGGTCTCACTACTAGATCAGACCCATAGCGATCCACCTTTTACTGCTTTATTTAAATGATGAAGAATAACTTTGAAAAGTGGAATCTAATGTCTTCATTAGTTTTCTCTCATTGCTGGAACAAAATACCTGACATCCAAGATTAAGGAAGGAAGGTTTATTAGCTCGCAGTTTGTGGAGTTTTCAGTCCATATTCAGCTGTCCATATTTAATTGCTTAATGAATATCTAAGTAAGGCAGACTTGCACACGGAAGAGGACAGAGAACTGCAAAGAGAAAGAGAGAGGAGGAGCGGCAACAATGGCAGCAGACAGCAAGTCTCTACTCCTTATATTGCCTTTAGGATATACACCCCAGGCAATGTGTAACACTCACACCCATAATCCGAGGAGTACTCAGACTCATAATCCAAGCTTTGGATCATGAATTAATTGCAAACTTTATAACCATGTCCCATGACTGTGTGAGACTTTGGGGAGACAAATACACACAATGCATAATATCAAATTAGATTTATGTCCCTATTTATAAAAAAAATATTTTGTGTCTTTACACAAGATAATTAGTAACTACCTAATGAAGGAATGAGAAATCATAGAGTACCATGTGTTTCACCTGTGAAGAAAAACCAGATTGTGGAAAATAATTTAATTTTATGTAATATAACTGATAGCTGAAGGAAATACTATTCAGTGATTAGTAGATAGTTGTACTACTTCTTAACCTGCAGGCCAGCTTTCCAAAATAATGAGAGGTTTCCAATGTCCTTTAATAAAATGTAAAATGATACAGAAAAAAAATGGATATCTAATTGCTTAAGGAAATCTAAGTAAGGGCTGGGAGATAGCTCATAGGGCTAAGCTCCTGCTTAAGCAAGCTCACAGACTACGATTTGAATTTTTGTATCACATGCTTGGCTATCCCTGCCCTGGTGCACACTGAGCCAGCCATCAAGACCAGACCAGATAGCCATGCCTGTAATCCCAGCACTGAGGAGGTTGAAAGCAGGCAGATCACTATTAGCTCTAGCTGAGTAGTGAGACCCTGTACTAAATACATTTAAAAGAGAAAGAAAGAAAGAAAGAAAAAGAAAGAAAGAAAGAAAGAAAGAAAGAAAGAAAGAAAGAAAGATAGCCTAAGTGTCACAATATTTAGTTGTATGTGAACTTTAATGTGGGGACATTTTTTTAAGAGTAGGAAAGATATAGACTGGCCAAATAGCTCAGCAGATTAAAGCACCTGCAAGCAGGAACCAGGGGCTATGGATTCAATCCCTAGGCCTGCCATGCTGGACCCACTCCAGGGGCATGCTGAGAGGTCAATTGAGATTGGGCATCCCAGCACTTGGGAGGCTGTAAACAGGAGAATCACTATGAGTCTGAACTAGTAGTGAGATCCTGAACACTACTTGCTCCTGTAGAACACTACTTTTCCCTAAAATTTAGGGGAAAAAAAGAGTAGGAAATACTTTTTGGGAGTTAGAAAGTTTCTAAGAGAATGGGGCCCTAAAAAAGGGTTGCTTTCTAATCCTATTTTTCTGGTGTGCTTTATTAAGTAAAGCCATGAGGTGAGGTGTTTAAGGTAGAATAGAACTCTAATTAGTCAGTAAGACAAGGGCAGTCTCTCAGGTAAAACTGATCAAAGGAGATCAAATTGGGAAGCAAGTCACGGAGCAAGCACACATGGGCCAGACACTGATGTCCCCAGAAAGGGTGGATTATGCAGGGTTTGGTCCTCCATTCAAGGAGATTTATATCTACTCAGAATATCAACCATTTCTGTTCTTCCCCAGAGCAAGTAAAGGGGTGCAGCTGCTCCTCTGTTCCTCTTTTCTTGAAGCCTGTTCGGACTTCTAACTCATCTTACTAACAAAGATTTTCAACAGTAGTTGGGAGACTGAAATTTTTATACATGATTTCTTCGTCTGAGCTATGAAAGATGCATCCCTTATTACCCATGCATGAACATACTTCAAAAGCATAGAGAAATTAAGACTTCACAAGAGCAATAGGAAATATGACTTACCTAAAACTTCACTGTAAAATTGATCCCATTTCTTTTCATTAAATGTCTGAAACCAAAAGTCAAAATATAGCAAGTACATCATGTTTTTTACTCTTTCCATGAAAGTCATCTGACCACTTAATCCTGATGAAATAATAGGTACATAAGAAGGAGGAAATAGAAGCCCTGCGCTGTACTTCTCATACGTGTATCCAGGGGAAAAGCGCAGGGTGTACACAAAAGGAATTTTCAGTAGCTCGGCCAGCAGCTCACCACCAGCAAATACAGTATCTGCAAGAAGGACGTCAAACTTTGATTCTTGTAATTTTGTCAGAAGTTTCTTGTTCAAAACTGCATCTTTACAAATGCTTTGACAGATATCAGAATATTCCCAGAAGAATTTCTGTACTAGTGGAAAGGGTTGACTGTAGATATGCTTTGCAGATTCATAGATGAAGTTATCAACCAACTGCCTGAAAAACATCTTCAGTCCTTCAGCAGTGACAGATGTAGGAAAAGTTTCAAATTTTATACCAGATGGATGATTGTGATCAATAAAAACAGAAGATGAAGGTCTGAGAACTGTCACTTCATGTCCCCTCTGTACAAGTTCAACTAGTATTACCTTTGCATTCATCCAGTGGCTGAAATCCATTTGCCACACCAGCACCTTGGCACATTTTGCAGTGTTAAAGTAACAACATAGCTGTAGCAACAGCAGCAGAAGAGCTCTCAGCATACTTGACATCCTGGTGAATACAACTGTGTCCTTTTACAGTGCGTTGTATTCTATCCTTATTCAAGATATTTGCTAACAGCCATGTGAAGAAAGCAAAAAGTTAAAGTGTAACTTCTATTAGTTAATGAATACATTAAATGACATGACAGTGAATGAACTTTGAGAACAAATGAAAAACTCAAACCTAGATTGTGGCACATTTTGAAAATCACTTGGATATTGTTTTATAGATTAAGGACTTTGACCTAGTGAAATGTAGATTACTTGTCTGTGTGAGCCACCTGCATTATAGAATCAATTAACATACATGAGATGAGGAATAGACCAAGAATTCAGGCCCAGTGAGTGAGACTGCCCGGGGCCCACCCCATCTTGAATGGACCCAGAGCACAGGCTGGGCAAGTGAGTGAGATGACCTGGGTCCCAGGGCTGGCATGTGAGTGAGACCACCCAGGGCCCCCAGATCTTTATTCGACCCAGAGTGCAGGCCCAGTGAGGAACCCTTCAGCAAAACTCCCTGAAAAGAGGCTAGAGGCAAGACCACCCAGCTGATTCAGGAGCAGAACATCTTGCCAGAGAGACACAAAGGGTTCAACTCTAATGGCTGCAGTAGAAAGAAGTGAAGCACAACAACCAAATCCAAATAACACCCACCTGGAAGAATCTGAACGTCATAGATCCAGAACTGGTGCTAAGGTAATAACTCTATCCAAGCTCTACACCAAAGGCCAGAAGACAGTGGTATACAAAATAACAAAGAGAAGGAACAAAATGCAGTCTCAAGCCTTGAATCCACCCAGTATAACTGCAGAAGACACTAGCACTGAGGAAACTGGAATTCAACAACTGCAGAAAGGTATAGAAGAAATCAGATCAGAAATAATTTTGGAACTAAAAAATTTAGTGATAACTATAATCAAAGAAGTACAAAGTGCTTCTAAAGAATACACTGATAAAAAGTAGAGCAGAATATAAAAATGATGGAACCCTGAATAAGCAATTTAGGAAAGAAATAAAATCTATGAAACAGGTTCAAAGTGATATACAGGAAATTAAAACCTCAATCACAAGCTGGCAAAACCATTTGAGGGAAAGTGAAAATGGACTTTCTGACCTTAAAGACACCATTGCAGCTAGTGAAAAAGTAAGAAAAGATCTCTTTAAAACAACTAGGATGCAGGAAAAATAATTCAATACCTGCAAGACGATGCAAAGATGAACAATGTGAGACTAATAGACATCAATAAGAAAGAAGGAGTCAATACAAATGGTGTAAAAAGAATATGGGCAGAAGTAATAGCAGAAAACTTCCCAAATATGGGACAACAATGACATTCACGTAATCGAAGCATAGAGAACTCCAAATAACATCAACCCAATGAAAACCACACCCAGACATATAATAATCAAGATCCCAGAAATTCAGCATAGGAACAGTATACTAAAAGCCGCTAAAGAAATGAAACATCATATTTAAAGGAAAATTCATCAGAATAACAGATTTCTCTTCACAAACCATCAAGTCAAGAAGAGCATGGAACAAAGTACTTCAAGTCATGCAAGAAAACAAATTCCAACTCAGACTGAAATATCCTGCAAAACTCTCTTTCAAGTATAATGGAGAAGTGAAATACTTCATGACAAAGAACAACAAAGGAATTTCATGATGACAAAGCCAAGTTTACACAGATTACTAAATGATGTTCTAGAGAGGGAGCATACTGATCACAACCCCATGAATGAGAATGGAAAGAACCTGCCAAATAGGGCAAAAAATTAAACACAGGAAAATAAGAGGTATACAATAGTAGTCTTTCAGTTATTTTTTTATGTTCACCAGCAAAATATTTCCATCAACACACTCTACAAATGGACTTCTCTTCCACCCTATGAGTCATGATTCCACTGAGTCTACAGGGTGGATTTCAAAGAAATAGCTGTAGCTCAGTTCAACAAGTGACACCTAGCTACCAGTAACTGTCACGGTCATTATGCATGTCCACAACACACTAGAACTTTGTGTGATATCCTATCCTCAAACGGTTAGAAGTGCTGGTCATTTACTTGCCATTCCAGTATTTATCTTATGTTTTACTCTTAGTACTTCTTTGCTATCATGAAAACTTTTTCTTAGTTCAATTGTTTTGAAACATTTAATTTTCTGAATATTGCTTAATCTTAATTTTTGTTCTAAGATTTATACTATATCTTTGACTTACAATTTATTTAAAAGATATTGTATGATGTTTTCTAGTATTAGAAACTTTAAAAAGTATGTTTCCATTTTCTGTTGACTTTATATTACTTCGTCCCTGTCTTTTTATACACACATACACACACATATATGGAAAAAAATATACGTGTATAACCCAACATAAGATTGGTACTGTTTCATAGAAATCTGCAATGACTTTTAAATAAGGGTTCATCTAATATATATCTTTTTTTTTTTTTTCGGAACCGGGATTGAACTCAGATCCTTGCATTTGCCAGTCAAGTGCTTATCCTCTTGAGCCATCTCCCCGGCCCCTAATATATCTTTTATATAGTACTGCATAACTATCATATTGAGAGCTATTTATTGTGCATCCAGGAGCATATTGCAACTTTCCTTGCATCTTGAATTGTACTCTTTGTTATTTCCTATATGCTACTTCTGGAGGTATTAAAATATTTCAAGTTTGTAAAAAAAATAAAAATTAAATTAAATTAAAAAAAATCCATGACAGAGAAGTAGAAATTGAGAACTGATTTATTTCTACAAAGGTTTTCAAACACTGTCCAGAGACTTTGAGTTAAAGTATACAACTGAAAGCAATCTTTTAGTGTTATGATTCAAAGAGTAGGTTCAATAAGTTTATGTATTTAAAATATTCATTAAATTCATCTGACCTGAACACAGTCACCTGAATTGAAGTATAAAATTTAATGATTTGTAATACATATATAGAAGTATGTAACCATCATGATAATTTCTCATTTACTTTCGTTCTCCAATAAGAAATTCAAACCTAAAAGCAAGATGTCTGACTACAGTTGCCTGCTGTATCACACTACAGGACACATGACCAAAACAGGAAAAACAGCAGTTATTTCCATGCAGAACACGCAGCAGAATGACAAAGTGCCACAGGGATATGGCATAAACTCTGATGAAAAAGAAAATGACTTTGGCCATATAAAAGAGGAAATTAAACACGCAGCATATGCCTATCAAGTCTATGAAAACAATTCATTTGGCAGCAGAAGAAAAACAGAGTCCTCAGAGAATATTCGTTCTTATTGTGCCTTTCAAATGTTACATTGTTATGTAAGCCAGCATGTCCTGTAGGTACTGGGCCCACCATGGGTGAATTCAAGATTATCATACTGGTTCATTGCCCCAAAGAGTGTGGGGAGGTCACATGCTGCTTTCCTTGGTCAAGGCTCTGATGATTAGTACCATATTAAGTCTCTGTGCACATGAGATTTAGTAAAATATCTGGGCACATAGCCAATCTGGTCTTAGGACATCATGCTGCTTATCTGCCCAGATGGCCCTGGCTAGTGCCTTGGCAGCCCTCCCAAAGGGCTCAGATGGAAAAAGCATCCAGGAAACACTTGAATGTCTCATCCCATCCTACAGCTGCCCTGGAAAATTCCAGACCTTTCTATAAATGGTCCCAGGTAAATAGCCTTATCTGACTACTACCCTTAGCACTGCAAAATGGAGAGGCAGCATACCTTGAGTGACTTTGCTCATTGTATTCCTAAGAAGCAAAGAAACTGACCTGCCTACACATACAATATTTGAAGAAGCAACCAAGAATGCTAAGCATGCTGATGCTCAGGCATTATCCAGGAGAACATTCCTGGACTTATATGGTCCTAAGAAGAAATTGATCCACCCATTCTGAGGTGCTCTGCCTGTAAAAACTCTGAGAAATGGAAAAGAGAGATGCTTCTTTCCTACATTACCAAGGCTAGGAAGCATCACGGTAATATGCCTTGGACAGGGTAGATCCATAAAATGAGGGTTTTTTTTAGGATCAGAATGAGATTGTCAGGATTGTCTTTCTTGGCACAAAAGCATCTTGCCTCCTGATAACACTAACACATTGACAGTACCCCCATACACATATGATCTAATATGGTGAAACATTTCCACTTAGACCTCTTTTGGCAGACTTCTAGCCAACACCCACTACACGCAACACTTAGCCATGTAAACCCACAATCAAAACAGGTTAGGGGCTCGCCAGATAGCTCAGTAGATTAAAGTGCCTGCTTAGGCAATCACAAGGTCTTGGGGTTTGAGCCTCAGCATGTGTGCTGTCCAGGCCCCAGGGGCACTCTGAGATGGGGAATAAGACTGAGCATGATGGCACATGTCTGTAATCTCAGTGCTTGGGAGGCTGAAAACACAAGAATTACTACAAGTCTGATCTGTGCAGTGAGATCCTGTAGCCCCTGTAGTAAAATCTAAAAACATAAAAAAATAGCTATAACTGATGCAGCATAACCTCAACTCTCTAAAGAGTACTACACCTCACATTCCAGTGTATTCACACAATTCCCACAGCCCAGCCACTAAGAGACACATCCATTGATGTCACATGCACTGTTTACATCTGGAATATTGGAAATGACACTATCCTAAATCATAGACCTGGTCAAAACAATGCAGCATACGCAAACAAAGGTAATAGTTCCACCATCCTATGAAATAGTTGAAGTAATTTTCTTGGCCTATCCACACATAACAATGCAGTGACTCAAAGATAATGAAAAGAACAGTTGCCATGAAAACTAATGTAGAAGAGTAAAAAAATTTTTAGACCCTGATTTTGAAGAAAATCAAAGGGATGTAAGTTTGAAATGGAAATTTAAATATTTGTAAATGTATTTAGTGATGCAGAAGAAAATAATGACCAGAAAGTTGAAAAAATGAAAAAAAATCATAATTTGAATAATAAATTCAATGAATATATAGAGATATAGAAAAACATAAAATCAAGCAAAAACACAACTAGTAATATTGGAACAAAGTGTATAATAAATG